GGGGCTCAAGCGCCCAGCTAATTTTTTATTTTTTTTAGAGAGGGGATTTCACCCATCTTGGACAGGCTGGTCTTGAGCTCCTGACCTCATGATCTACCCACCTTCGCCTCCCAAAGTGCTAGGATTACAGGCGTGAACCACCGTGCCCAGCCTCACTGCAGCTTTCACAGCTGCTGGGATATTGCTTAAATGATAGCCATTCCCTCTTACCAGTTTCCAAGGAACCAAACGCACCAGCCCTCAAAGCCCAGCTCAGCGGCAGCTGTAGCCCGGAAGTCTTCCTGACTCTCTGCAGAGTGCCAGGCTCCCCCAGCACCGAATCTGTGCCTCACTCATTCACGCAGCCTATTCACCTGCCTCAGTGATGGGCATGTCCTCTCTCCCTCTGGCCACCAGCCCAGTAGCAACAGGACTCTCCTGACCCATCTGTGTCCAGCTGAGTGAACGGACTCACCAAAGAAACCCCGGCGGCCAGAGCCTCTACCTTGCCCCTCTTCTTCCAGGGCTCGCCAGGGACTAGATTCACATGCCAGTTTCCTACTAGCGCACTGGTCAGGCTAAGTGAACTGCCGTGACCACTTTTTTCTCAGTCTAGAGGCAAAGGCCGGTGTGGAGAAGAGCGAGAGAAGCAAAGCAGGGCAGACGGGACTGCAGTTGCCTTCACAGCAATACTGACGGCAGCGCTGTGCCCGCCCACTCCTGCCCTTCCTGGACCTTCCCATGGGGACCTGGGTCTTCTCCTCAGTTCAGAGCCAGCCAGAAGATGTGCTGGCTGGATTAGAGGGCAGAGATGATCTCGGACACCCCCCCACCCCCAACCCCACCTCCTTCCGGGGCTAGTGGGGAACTCGAGGCACATCCCCACGCACCTGATCCAAGACAGGTGGGAGGCAGAAGGCTGGGCCAGCTGTTGGTCTCCCCTCGAGCTCGGAAGGCCCGGGCTGGGGTCCTGGGAATCCCTGCAGGCTTTCAGGACAGGGATTCCACCTGGGTGAGAATCCCCGGGACAGTGTCCTGCCCTAAAACAGCCTGAGGCAGGCAGCTGGAGTACAGCCCAAGGCCTGCACTTGGAAAAGGTTCCTCGTGTAATTCCAACATGCACACTACTGAAAGCCAGCGCTGCAGGGCTGGATATGGAAGTGGGTGAGCCTCCACATACCCCAGCCTCTGCTTGGGACAGCCCCTGTCTGCAGAAGCAGCCCCTTGGCAAAGGGGAGTGGACCTGCACGCTGGAGGGGAGTGCAGGAATCAGCCACAGGAAAGGTGAACAGTCCGGAAGCCATGGTGACCTGAAGGCAGTGCCCTACAGGGGGAGGGTGGCTGAGCCCAGCTTAGGAAGGGCCTGGCCCCACATCCCGGTGGTGAGGCGGTGACAGGGCCACAAGCTGTGAGGTCTGGAGCTGGTTGTGTACCCTTCACTGGACCTGGTTTTCCTCACATAAAAATGAGCTTCCAAATACTACTGTGTTCTTGTAGAGGTAATCATGGGGCATAATGTGTATGAAAGGAAGTGGTGGGTGTAGACAGGTGAAAAAGTCACTGTGAAACAAGCGGGCTTCAATCAATGGGACAGTCAGCCAGGCCTGCTCAGGAAGGCAGGGGCCACACTGGCAGTGCCACCTGGGGGCTTTGCCCAGACCCAGCAATGCCCAGATCAGAATCCCTGGAGGTGAGGCACAGGCACCAGCATGTAAAGCGCCAGGTTCTTGACCTGATATAAGCCAAGTGGGTGACCCCTTGAGTTACATAGTCCAGACAAGCAGTTTGCAATTTTATATGAGAATCATTTGGAAAACTGCATAAAAACACCATTCTTTGTTGGTCCAGACATGGGATTCGGGCTCATCAGAAAGGAAGAACTTTCTAACAGAGTCACCCAAAAATGGCAGGCAGTGAGCTCAGCCGCACTGGAGGGAATCAAGCAGAGACCACTCAGTCAGGTGATCAAGTGATACCAACGTTCCTGGCCACTGAAACTGCAGAGGTGGCGGCTGAGCCCAGGGGTCCCTTCCAGCCCTGAGGCTCCCTGAATGCTACTGGCGACAGAAAAGCCCAGCTTTGGGGAAAGGGGGTGGGGCCGGCCACCTACCTGCCTCTATCCTCCCCACGTGGGCGTGGCTGCTGCGGTTGCCGTCGGTCTGCAGCTCCTCATCGGGCTCCTCCCACTGGGGCAGCTCGCGGCCCAGCGCCTCCAGCTCCGCGTGGAAGCTGTGGTTGGAGCAGCTTTGGAGGAAGCCAAACACCAGCAGGTTCGTGATGCGCTCATCCTGGAGGCCGGAACCATTGCTGACCTGAGGGGAAAGGGGAGTCAGGAAGACCTGGGGACCTGGCCAGGCCGTGCAGCTGGCCCCAAAGAGCCTCCCAGGCCCCAGAGAGCTGAGCGGCCCCGTGGGCTGGAGGGCCCTGCAGGAGGTCCCAGCAGGCAGAGGCCAGGTCACCTGTGGGTGGCAGGGCGCGGCCGACTCTGCACAAAGGCATTCCTGTGCAGGGGAATCTGCTGGCTGTCCTGCAGCACGCAGCTGGGGCGCCTCCCACCGGGTGAGAAGGCCACGCGAGTATCACGTGGACGCCACCCGCCATCCTGTGCTTCAGCAACCTGAGCCCACCTTTCCCGGCTGCGTTTCCAGCAGGCGGAGCCCCGGTCTTCCCCTCATCTGCTTCAAGGGCTCAGGAAGGACTGAGCAGAGACTTCAGTGACTACTGGGGAGTGGCGACCACGTCTGGCACGTGCCTTTGGCCAAGCGTGGTTCACCTGGGGGGGGGTTGTGTCCTTAACCCAAACTCCACAGGGAGCAGAGCTGCAGCGCCGCGGGAGACGGCAGGGGTTGGGGTGCGGACTGCGTTTGGGGCTGGATTCTGAGCGCTTGCAGCGTCTGCAGCTGGGTGTGCCAGAGCAGAGAGGCCTAGGGCGGGAGAGAGGGCAAACACCGCGAAGGGACGCTGGGATCTGCCCAGGTTCTCACGGAACAGACGTCCTGGGCGGCCAGAGAAGGGCCGGAGGGAGGGAGTGCAGGCTGAAATTCCTTTCTATCCTCTAAGTTCATAATATTTTTCATTAAAAAAAACCAAAAACCTTGTAGAGGACAGTTTTTTGTTTTTGTTTTTGTTTTTTTGAGACGGAGTCTCACTCTGTTGCCCAGGCTGAAATGCAGTGGTGAGATCCAGGCTCCCTGCAACCTCTGCCTCCCAAGTTCAAGCGATTGTCCCACCTCAGCCTCCTGAGTAGCTGGGATTACAGGCGCGGGCCACCACGCCCAGCTAATTTTTATATTTTTAGTAGAGGCAGAGTTTCACCGTGTTGGCCAGGCTGGTCTCAAACTTCTGACCTCAGGTGATCCTCCTGCCTCTGCCTCCCAAGTTGGGATTACTGGGGTGAACCACTGTGTTCAGCCTCTAAACCTACTTTTGATAAAAGACTTGATAGTTATTTTTCTCCTATGATCTAAAACGATAAATATGTAAGAGAAACCGTCAAGACAGGAAGTTCTGCAAGACATGTTACAACAGTGACCTAATGGAGGCAAAAATATCAAGATCAATTTCAGCGCAAAGAAAAAGATGGTACTGGCTGGGCATGGTGGCTCATGCCTGCAATCCCAGCACTTTGGGAGGCCAAGGCGGGTGGATCACTTGAGGCCAAGAGTTCAAGAGCAGCCTGGCCAACACGGTGAAAGCCCGTCTCTACTAAAAATACAAAAATTAGCTGGATTTGGTGGTGTGCGCCTTTAATCCCAGCTATTCAAGAGGCTCAGGCAGGGGAATCGCTTGAACCTGGGAGGCAGAAGTTACCGTGAGCTGAGATCGTGCCACTGCACTCCAGCCTGGGTGACAGTGCAAGATTCCGTCTCAAAAAAAAACAAACAAATAAAAAAAGAGCAATACCAGGAATTGCCAGGAAAACAGCAATTTAACTCGTACAGAATGCAACCTATACAATTTAAATCAAATG